GATTTGACAGACAGCCGCCTAGCGGGTTAGTTGTTAGCATGGAGGCAGCGATGTTAAAAAGGGATCGCGCCTCTTGTATGTTGTCGTGTTTGTGTCAGCTCAACCCTCCACCGTAATCACCCACCCACCCATCAGCCCACCCTACTCCAGCCCCCTCTGGGCTCCTGTTTTCTCTTTGCCATTAAATTGTGAAATCTACTTACTGTGTTGCCAGCCTGATCCCACTCAAGCTGCGTAATCTCCTTGTAATAGAGTGTGAATACTGCCCGGCAATAAATCAGCACCTCATCAGTGCACTTTATTAAATATAGACACCAACAGACAGCTCTTAGTATATTCAATTTACCCTCTGACGTAGGCTTCAACACAAGAGATAAAGATAGATTGAGCAATCAGGTGGATGCTGAGGCCTGAACCCCGGCAGGAGAGCGGGAGGAAGGCGGAAAAGCTGCGGGGAGATTGAGATGGGGGCGTATTGGAGGCAGACAGGCAGTCAGGAGTCTGCAGGGCCAGGAAAGGGACATCTGCCAGGCAGGGTGGGGGAGGGATTTGTTTAGCTACTGTGACACATGAGCAGGTACATCCAGCATCCCAATTATGTGTGCGCACTGTTCACAATGTCACCAAGTTGAATCTGCGTAAAATCTGAAACTGTAGAACTGTAGGTAAAATGTTCTACATAACACTTTGTATGAAATCTTCTTTACTGGTGCCTTTAAGTGATTGTCTGCAGAGCGCCATCCCTCATTAAGCAATGTTGCTTGACGGCGGAGGAGATAAATTATGTGTAATTATAGCAATGATTAAAGCCTGATTCGTCCTGGTCTTTGGGGCTTAACAGAGATATGTAACGTCAGTGTTGGGCAGTGGGACCCTAGGGAGGGCTAAGGACCTCTCTGTTAGGGTCAGCAGGTCATGGGGTGAAGATTAAAACAAGGGGATTACTGTATTTAACGTTCTTCAACCTCATAACGTTCACAGGCTACTGGTCAAATCGCCCATTCCCCAGCTACTTACCACGGGATAATGGGCTGGTTATCACTCTGAAAGAAGGCAGATAGCGGACACTCCTGAAAGTCAGGGCCAGAGCTGCTAAGAAAAAAAGACAAGATACATGTTCAGTCATCCACTTCTTTTTTTAGTGTGTATCGACATGATCTCTTCTGTATAAAAACAGCCTTTGAGTCATCAAATCAGTGTCCAGGGAGGCTCGCCGCAAACTGAGCTGTTTGTGTTGTACATGTGGCTGGACTGCAGGTCAAATTATTTATGTCAAGCACAGCAATTTACTACCAAGCTGCTATTGATTGGGTTCTCCTGACGCTGTCATGCAAATTCAAGAAGAATCATGGTCGGCAGTCACACACACACACACAGATCCTCACACCAGCCTGCACACACACACAGATCCTCACACCAGCCTGCACACACACACACACACACACACACACACACACACACACACACACACACACACACACACACACACACACACACACACACACACACACACACACACACACACACACACACACACACACACACACCATTATAAAGCTGCTTAAAATTGCCCCTCAATCCTGCATTGGTGACACATTGTACACCTTAGTGTGTCGCTGTGCCATCAGATGAATCTATAACAATCAAAAGGTGCATACATTTTCTCTTTGTCCTTTTCTTTTTTTTAAAAACACTTTTATATCGAATAAGCTTATGGCAGCATGATCATTCAGCTCAGAGTTTTGAGGTTTGATAAAAAAAAGCCGTGCTGGACCTCTGGGGCCTGTTAGGGGCAGTTTGACTCCGACTGGAGCCCAGAGAGCACTTGACTTGGCTGAGGTGAGCTTGCCGCTGGGCAGTAGTCTTCAGGGCCTGCTTGTCCTTCTGATAGCTCGCCATGATAGATCAGCTGCTGTCCGGCTCAGAATGACTCCCTTTCTATCTCCCTCTTCCTCTCCCTCTCATGCCCCGGTCCTTTTCGCCGCCTGCTGCTGCTTTCTTTCCCTCTCCCTTATCTCCCTCCTCTCTGGCCCATATCTTCTCCTCTCTTTTATCCTCCATTTCTCTCACCATTTTTTTCTCCTTCCTTTTCTCTCCCTCCCTCTGTCTGCTCTGTTGTCTGATTTGAGGGTGAGTTACGAGGGGGCTGCAGCTGGAGGGGGCCACCGTGCCTCGTAATTACATCTCTTTTTATTACCCGCGCTAATGGCCCTCGGGGAGAGGGAAACAATAATAAATTAATAGAATATGAACTCCAGCTCAACAGAAATCTACAGCATTTCATTTTGGACCGTCCTGTGCTCTGGCAGATGAAACGGTGCTCAGATTAATCTCTGCGAGGGGGTTTCAAGCAGCCGTCTGCGGGTTTGGGCTGCCCCCTCCTGCCCACAGCCGAGTGCTTTTGGGGAGATAAAGGGAGAGGTGATGGTTTTGGCTTCTGTTGTTGGTCTTTAGCGGTCTTGTTTCAGCCTTTGAGCTATGATTGATGGAATTAGTGGTCATTTGGGCTGCTTTGTAGTGTAGTTTCTTTTGCCTACATTTATTTTTGTCCCATTTTTGTAGATTGAGCTGAATTCCAGCCGTGGCCATGCAGGATAAAATATGTCACATCTAACCATTTTGAAAGTGAAAATCCATTTGACGCATATGATCGCTATATGAGCAGGGTGCTTAAGTCAAAGTGAACAAAGAAAAGCGCTGCATGGTCATTATCTCTGTATACCTGCCATAAAGATTTCCAGACAGAAATCTGCTGGAGCACTCAGCAGTGGAGTGGAAAAGGCCCTTCAAGCGCGCAGACAGGCCTCTCTGATTTGGTCAATATTGTGTCATGTTTGGTCAAACCCCGCCAAGGCAGTGGGCTGGAAATGAAGATGTAAATATTGATATTTCATTAGAGGAAATCACCCACTCCGACGGCACTTAACCGGGCCACCTTCAGAGTGCGGCGGCCGGAGCGCCGCGTGACCTGCGGAGTCGGGAAGTCACTTCATTACTCGATTAAATTGAGTGGAAAAAGGCGAGGCAACGACACGAGATCCCATTTGGAGCGATAATTTAGGCTCTGAAGAGAGGGGATGGAGCAGGGGAAAAACACCACCTCTCCATCTCACAACACTGGATTAAATTCAAGGACTTTTAGCGTCAAAGGTAATTGCAGGCTGCTGGGCTGCATGTGTTCATATGGCTGAGAGGTGTCTGCTGTATCAGAACAACTCTAAAGCCTCTCCGACAAACCCTGAACAAGGCCTTCACACGGGCTGTCACATTGGGAGCAGCGCTTTAGTTCCGCTTCAGCCCTCCTTGGCATTAAAAGGCTAGACAAAGCCTCGCCTGTGATTGTGATGCCAACCTGATGCGGCAATCAAGACCACGTCCACGCTTGCATGACAATCTCCCTCCGGCCATGTCCACCGTCTGTACAACTTAATGGCTACGTATGCAGACAAGGAAATAACACAACAAAAGATTTTAAGAGGCAGACCGGATACGTGTAATGGCACAGGCCTTTTCAAAATATGGCTTATTGCCTCCGACGATAATAGCCGAGTGTTTTGAGTGCTTTCGGCAGTTTGCTTTGTTGGGTCTAATTTGGGCTCTTCAGACCTCTGACCAGAGCGGCCGGGCAGCAGCACCTTTCTGTTAGCACTCTATTCTACTGACTATTGATTCCCCTTCAAAATGTGAAGGCCCTCACATTCTGATCACAATCTGTTAATTAATGTATCCTCCAACTCTTCCCCTGCGGTGGTCATCACCACGATAAGGGAAATTGAACACTCGGGTACTACTCTCCCTGGCTCTTCTTTTCTCTCCACCTGTCTCTTTCTCTCTTCCCGTCCCTTTTTCTCTCACGCTTCCTCATCATGCCTCTTGTTCTTCTCCGTGTGTGTGTGTGTGTGTGTGTGTGTGTGTGTGTGTGTGGG